TAAATGCCCGGTAATTGAATCGAGAGGTTTCCTATACTCGTAGCTGTTATATGCTGAGTGATGATGAAGTATATTAACTTCCTGACTCTGACTAGACTAGGTTCTTTATCTAAGCCTAAATCGATTCGATGAGATAAATTATTTACATCATTATTATAGTCCTCCTTACTGATTTCGGTAACGGCGACCCTTAATGGCTATCTCCTGTCGTGTGCGCTGATGTGACAGGCCAGACCGAATTTAGTTTTAAAAATATGATCACAACTAGAGCAGTAAAGCTGGCCGGCAGAGTTGTACGTCTAAGTATAGGAAGGATTAGGTCATAAAGACATCATTATTAAACACATTGTGAAATATCCATGAAACAGCACATGCAAGGCATAGCGTCAATGGGTACGTAACTCTAAGAAGTACTTCAAGGGTCTTACCTAAGTACATGTTCGCGAACAAATTTAATTTTATTAACTATCTTGTGTTTCATAAATTATTAACACTATTCGGCAAAGGAATGCTGTTATGCCTTCCAGATTTGGAATTCATTATATCTAAGTTAAGATAAAACAAGCTTTAAGCTCGATTAGGAAAACTAAGCATTATTTTGCTAGCAACACTAACAGTAGTTATTGATTTATTATGGCAACATTATCTTAAAGAGTAATCGGGAGGAGATCAGATCTTGGTATTTTACATCTTTACTACCATAAGTGTTTAGTTAGAATGAGTATGAATTTAGTGGTCGTGCCACCTGTTGGCTGTCTCACAATTTATCACTGTCTCTAATGACTGTATTATTTACTACTGGTTGGCAAAAACCGTCAATAAAAACGTTTGTTCGACAAGACACCGACTGTCGTACGTATTTTCATTACGAAAGGCGCGTATTTCATTATAACTCATGATTTATAGGCTGTTCGACAAAGCCAATAAATTGAACTATTACAACTAATTAAATTAAGATAAGAGAATGTTGTGTGATTTATTTTGTGACGGAAAGTCCTAGTTTTGTTGTCGTTGGTGCTATATTTCCTATGCACCTAAATACATGGATATTAGGTACATTTTTCTTGTTAGCGAAACATTAGTCAATGTTGGGATACAAGTTTGCTGTAAAAATGTACGGAAATAGCCTTCGAAATTTATGAGCTTTAGTAAGTAGTGCGTGCGGTGAGTTAGGCGCGGGGCCAACTACATGTCTGAAATTAATATCGTGTATCCAGGCATCAGTGATCGACTACAAACGGTCGATCCTAATTTCATACGCCATTATTGATTCTTTTCTATGAAGTCTAAAGGCGAAGGCATTAGTTATCATATTTTGAACTTGTTATCCAGTGTAAAAGGCCGGGCACAGTTCCAGGGTTCGTGCTATTACATACTGATAATTAAAAAAAAATCGAAAAATCCAATAGTACTTAACTAGATCACTCGATAAACGAGACAATAGTTCGTAACTAGGGTTAGTTTTTAATTTCAATGTCAGTATCGCTTTATCTAATTTCCTTACCTCAAATTAAGATCTTTATTTGTTTTACCACCGCACAAGATATAGTATAGTCTATTTTTAAATATGACATCTAAACCAGATAGGAAGAACCAAGAAAATCTTTTATGACAATCAAATAAAACCGTCTAAAATAAATAGCCAAAAATGTCCAATTATAACTGTAGTTTGCATGCGATTAAATAAATAAAGGCTTACGATAAACAAAGAGTCATTTGTTTAAGTAGTAGTGACTGGCCGGTAGCGACAACAGTATTAATGCTGCGTCAGACGAACAACGAGCAGATTTACAAAGATTTATGTGCATAGTCCTCGGAAACGAGCTCAGACCGTCTCAAGGTTAAAACTTATTAAAATCACATAATTCCAGATGAAGAGATATTGCTATGTATTTTTACAGAACTGCAGAGTAATTTAAGCAATTTTACTCGCTCTTAATCTGCTCACACTGCTGCAAAACGTCTAATTTTGCCGATTTTGAATTGTTTATCAAAAGCGAAAAACAAATGCTAGCGTCCTCGTAATGGCGACCTCGCTAAACTAAAATCCTCCCAATTAAGGCGTTTTTAAGAACACTCCAGATCGGTCCCCAAGATTGGGAGGAGACATATTGAACACAATCGATTCCTTTGAAAAATGTACACAAAAAAGTGTTATAAGAGGTCAATGTTTGTACATAATAAGCTGGCTAAAACAACAAAAACCTATGTAACATTCAAAATAAAGACTAGATTTACTGCTCATTAAAATTCATACAATAAAGATTAACTTCCTATTCGGCACGATACCGGCTTACAGATGACCATATTTCAACTTGATTGATTATTTCAACTTTATTTTTTACGAGCGTTGCGATAAAAGAAGAAAAAAGAGTACTTACAATCAGGTGATAGAATTAAAGCTACCTGTATAAAGCATAATGGAATATGTAAATGATAAGGAAGATAATGTGTCATTAGTTTTGTTCAACAGATAAACGTCGATGTGGCCCAAAGTGATAGCGAAGCCAAGTTCAAATATTTGAGAAGGTCGATTCGCGATAGGCTAAAAAACAAACTATGTCAGTCCAGACGGCAACAGAGAGCGGCGCTGGCGCACGCTTACTCTGTTATCTATTCAATTATGCCCGAATTTCACATGGCCCAGGTTATCGCTGCGAGAGATACTGTACGAATCATGTTTTATACTTTAATGGATTAAATAAAAACGTTAGGTTACATTTTATTACTAAGGAAAAACTACATTTAGTGGTACTTGCCTTCATGTTCCAATAATAAATACAATAAATGATATTTTTTACATTTGTATGCATCGATGCATTTCAGTCATGATTGATTTTGAACAAGACGATTTTTGCTTCGGGGTTTTTTGACATCATTAGTTTTGTTTTTTGCCCTTTTTACCTGCATTAAAAACGTTAATTGTGATTACTGGAAGTGACGTAAGGAAATGCAATAATTGGTTTATTGTATTAGCTGTCAAGGAATTACACGATTTTTATGTCGGGTTTCTTAGTTCGAACTTAATATGGGAATTATGTGGTATAAAGCAAAGGAAAAACAACACATTCTTAAATAATCTATGTCCTATTCTCAAATGGAGGAAAAGGTTGCATTATACAGTACTTAGTACTTTTGACACCGACTTTGTTCTAGTAGAATTTTAAAACTTTACTGTTTGTAAGACAATCTTACACAGAACCTTTATCAATTAAAGAAAACTGCATCAAATTATGTGCAGTATTTTCTGCAGAATGCTCGAACAAAATTAAATAGACTTACAGATGTAGACATCTATCCATCAAACTTTCAAACCTTTCTTATAATAGTAGATATTTGTATCTACAGCAGTATGTCAATATGCTTTGTTATAAAAACAGATCACGTGATCTATCGGGTCAATTTACCACTACGTTGTAAATACGGCTTCACATAGAGCTATGCATAACCAGTTTAAACTGACCCATCAATCTACGGAAAGACCATAAAAAGCCAGATCATGATGGTTTTGTATAGTTTGCAGTGTATAGCTGTTTGTACGTACTCGCTGCTATCGCTCGCCTTTGCCCGTGAACTTCATTTTGTATCTGTGCGTACTCCAGATACAGTGACAGACGTAATCTTATCTATTTAAGTAATAGAAGAAGCAACTGAAAGTTATTACAATTTGATTCTTATGTTTCTTATTGTAATAATGTTGTTTTCTGATTGTATTATATCATATGTTAAAAGAACATGTTTTTTTTTTCTTTAAACCGGTAAGTAGGGATTTATTGTAGAAATGTGTTTATGTGATAGAGCCAAATGAGGATACGGAGCACCTGATCATAACATGTGCTTTGCTTGTCTTTTGAGAGCAATCGGCCTAATTTGTTATTTTTATAGGCCAGACAAAGTTTTATTTGAAATTAGGATGATATTTATTACCTATATATTATGCTAATCGTATGGACTTGATTGGAGTGTTACATTTTTTTTTTTTTAATATTGTAGATTATTTCTCCACGGACTCTAGGTCCATGCCTTTATAGAGTTAAGAGGGAACCTAGTTACATACTACAATTAACTACATCTATAATTATTAGCAAAAGTATAGGTTACATAATAATTAGGCACTATTTATTTATTTCTATTTCAAAGGCTTTATGAAACCAGCCCACCAACAAGATGGGAGAGCCGACCTGACCCAGCAGAAGGCACCCGTTCACGAGTATGACGTGTGTGTCAGCAATTGGTCCGGTCAACCTTTTTATTGGGAACGGAACAACCCAACACACAGCGCCACCGACTGTAGGACATTTATGTGTGCATGACGCCTCAACCCTTGCCACATGGGCCGATTCCAATAAAGCGTACAATAGTCCAAAGTCACATTTAGTGACTGGAGTGTTACATTTAAAGTGACTGTCTCTGGGGTAGGCAAGCGGCTTTGGAGCATAAATGGTGTTATATAATCGTGATAGGGCTTTGTTAATAAAAGCCCATATTTTCCCTGTCAGTCCTGGAAAAATACCCGAAACTTCGTGATCAGAAGCTCATGGCCTTTAGAAACACAATCCACTTTTTGTTTGCATAATTAAATTATATTGTTTCTTAGTATAAAAAATACCTAGTATTCACAGTGCAATAAAACTATTAGGTATTGATTACTTAAATTGATTTTTTATTGAAACGTTCGTTTATTTCTTCTGACATCGGAATTAAAATATAATTGATGGATGGACATAGCTCATAAGGTTCATCAGTTTCTTGTGTTAGTTCTTGTGCATTTTTATAAATTAAAAAAAATATATTAAAACATCATGTCTTCTATTCACGGAATTGGCGAAGGATCGCATATTGGACGTAGTATTTACTTTTTGCCATTTGACCTTCCCGCTTGCCCCCTGATACTCTTGAAATACGTTTACAACAAGCATATTTCCTTGGCACTTCAACTAACGATCACTCCTTACAAGGCTCACAAAAAGAAATAAAATAAATAATAAAATATTCCTTACCTCAGGTCCAGCCTGAGTTCTCGGCCATCGACAGTAAGGTTATAATGAACCACATGAGGCTGGTGTTGCTCCGTGTGTTGTAGATCCCTGCGAGCTCGCGCGTGCCCGTGCGCATGGGCGTGGTCGACGGCGTGCGAGACCAGCTCGCCGTGCGTCGTCACCTTCACAGGGTGCACCACTTGCACTTTCGACGCGTCCAGGTGTTGGTGGGAATAGATACCTGCATAGAAAATGGAACTATGTTATTAGAGGCAAAAGGTTCACATTTTACAATTAATTAAGTAAACGAGATCAAGTTGTAGACTTTAAAGCGTACGTTTGCTGGTACCTACTAGCACAAACAACAACACAGGTACAAGACCAAAAATGTACTTATAATAATTGGTCCTAAGAAACGCAGAGTTAAAGTGTCGTCGATGATTTTCGATTTTGGTACTTATGAAGATAGAAATAGAATACTCCCTTGAATCACTTATTAGAATAGTTAGAAATAAATAGGTAGGTCGAAAAGTCTAGCACGTTGCTAAGGAAAAGAAAAATTATGATTATGTAGTTTAACGTACAGTAATGGGCGCTGAGCAAAGTTTTGTGTTTGTAAATCGTACGCAACGGGATGGAAATAGCTGCCGGAGTAACAGTTGACGTTTACGATGAAAGGGTTATACACACTATTACGCATGTCAGTAAAAATGTTTACTCTGATAATGATTGTATTAAGTAAGAGCACGTGTTAGTAACTGGATCACTGGTACTTATACAAAATTAATTACATAATTGATTAGGTATCATCTGGGTATAAATAAATATGACAAAGAAATATCAGATAGTACATAATTTCATAGCAGTTATATCGCTATCGTGTTTAGATTACAACAGAAATACTAACTGAAAATACGAGTAAACGAAGCAGAAAAGACCTTAAGACAACTACTTTAATCCATAAATTAGATTGAATCAGGAATAAAGAGTTAGATCTGAAAGCTTTTTTCCTTGCATGCAACATATAAAATTATTTTAAGATATATCTTTATCAACGTACTAAAACAGCTATCAAAGATACAAACATCAATTTGATAATAAACTCGTGGAGCAAAATTCTCAGAAAAGGATAATAAATTCTCAAAACTAACAACGATAACCTAGATTTTAGTGACAATACTGACAACGTAGCAGTTTCAACGCCACGGGATGTAATGACTTGGTTTTCCAGTTACAACGCTTTGACAAACAAAATCGTACGACAATAACCTGTCTTTTGCTGACGCTAGTAAATAAATAATTTAGTCTGCCATGTGTCTTGGTGACGCAAGTAAAAAGTTGTTTAAATAAGACACCCTTTATGCACTCAGCATTTTGTTCGGCAAATCTAATTTTAGATGCGATTATGAATTCGTGACACCGCTTCTGTGCTTGCAAAAGGGTACGTGATTCGTACTTAGACCCTTTTTTATAAATCAAAGCACTTGCAGTGTCTCATATTTAACCGTCACAAGGTTGCTTTTGAATTTACTGAAGTGGCAGTGAAGAATTTTATTTAAGAGGATAAAATTGAATCTTATGTAAGTATAAAAACTTTTTATACTAACTCTTGGAATGTGTAAAAAACATTTCCAAAAAAAACAACTATCACAACAATCAACCTAGTTCGGAATTCAAAACAACTAAAATAAAAAGACAATGGAACGTTAACAACTGTCCGCATAGAATGGACGGGCTTAATGGCATTGCGTTTATGAAGTAATGCAGTCCCGTGCGCCTGCACGACCGTCCTAAACATGGCGCCAACTCCAGGCGCCATTGCACTCGTATTTTTATATCTCAAAACGATTAACGCCTTAATTATACACTAACAACATTCCTTCAATAAATTATGACATAACTACTTTTTATTTATTTTGTTTTTGTTTAGAGTTAACATCAAATTCAAATAATTGTTTTAAATAAAGGTGGTAAAATGATCTTGGTTACAACGAGATCATGTATCGATTTATTTTTGTACAAATAACATATTTTGTAGAAGAGTGCACCTATAGTTGTATACTACATAGTATAATATTGAATTCCCATGGCGCCGAGTCCAGTAACATAACCCGGACCACGCTAGCCTGACACGTTCCTAGACTACAAAATTCTCGGTAATATGTTCAATTTTTCATAGACAATCATAATTACTAGCTTATCACTCATCATATGAACGATTTCATATGAAATCTGTATGCTTGGTCAGCGACGGAGCGGCGCTAGTCACTCGACACTCGCTGACTGCAAAGGCCACACAAGTTCCACCTGCAACTCGTGTTTTTCTCACTCCATATTTGTCTTCAGAGGCTCATACATAAATGAATTTAATTAAGGTAAAAACTGCAATTGTCCAAGCCTTACCTGGTTTAAGTACTGACGATAAATGGATTAATAGAGCGATAATTTTCTTAGAACTCGCCTTGAAAATTGTAGCGGCGATGCGCGATGCTTTAATTGTACGACGTCTTTTTTTCCGAAAACCAGAATTTTATTAATAATTCCGAATTTTAACACAACAACGCGTAAAAATTACCTATTATTACATAGACTGGTCATAAAAGCGGCATTTTAAATTATGAAACTGATCTTTAGATTATAAAATAATGACGCTTACATAAAGAAATCTAATATTCGCAAAAAAGTATAATGAATGGTCTTAATCGTATTAAATGTACATTACGCATATATGCTGCAGAATTTTCAAAGAGTTGGGTCGTTGGATGGTTAGGTTTTTAGGTAATTTTTTATTCAATCTACGACTTGAAAATTATGTCAATATTGCAATAAAAGTCGTGGCCTCTTTCCCTGTTACTATGCACGACTGCAATTCTAGAGTTTACTGTCAAAAGAACCGCCCACTGTCGGGCGCCAACACAGCTCATCACATGATTCACTGCATGTGATAAGTTTAATAAAACTATTTCACCTCACAATCTTTAACTAAATTCGCCCATTAACATAACAAAAATAACACAAAATAACCTTCGTTTTATTTTAATTTAGCAGTACTTGCCTACTATTATATGCATAGTACGTGCGTGCTGGAATGATTTGCAATAGATTGATTACGTAAATTAATTTTATGTCCATATACACTAGATCATTCAATTAACGTAGGCAGGTAACCTAGTTAACTAGATATTATCTCTGTAGGGCGCCATGTACGTGGCAAAGGACTAACTAATTTGACGAAGAATTTTTATAGCAGAGACCTTAACACGAGAACCCCTGTGGTCATAAGTGTTGTATAATCTAATAGAGTTAATTATTATTCATAAACTTCGAATACCGGATAGGAACCAGTCCGTTGTAATCTTCGCGTCTCAGAATCAGTTCCATATCGGCTCACTCGTCATTATATTTCGGGTCTTCGGTCAAGGCGACCCATAATTGACATTAGTTTTTAACATTAATTTTTATAATAGCGAATAATGCGTAAAACTAAGGCCCAAGTCGCCGAGCAACAAAACTAATTTGTGCGAGGCGATAAAAGTGTGTTACATCACCCTTAATTGTACATAATCAGAGTGTTCAAACAAAGGTATTATATGTGATGTGACAAGAACAAACGTCTTAATAATAGTTTCCTGTAAAAAAACTAAAGATGCGTAACTGTATTTACATTGTGACTAAACTAGTACAAGCATTATAAAAAATTAGGAAAATATTGCCGCATGAATCTGTTAGATAAAGTATTCGCGAAGTGGAAGAAACGTTCGCATCTCCTGTTTTTACTGTGATTAATGGGTGAACATGATCAGGCGCACGATCGCTTTACGATCGTATCCTCGGGCGACAAGTGACAGCTTTACGTCATGGTTCACGTCACCAAGATCAACAGATTCGCGCCTTTTCTGCACTATACTGATAAGATTGCTTGGGCAAATATTGAGCTTATAAGATAAGCGAATCAGGATCGTTATACTTTGCACTTTCCAGCGATAAATTTGGGCAATAATTAAGTACTTTTACGATATGATTATCAAACATTAAGAAGGTAATTTACGAAATGAATAATAAAAGTGTCGCACGCACTAAATATCAGATTTAGTTAGGATATTGGTAACATTCGATGAGGTACTAATTTAGAATGAAAGTTCGACGACCGTGTCGCTCACTAACTGCTTTGTTTTATAAATCCCGCCACCTATTGCCGCTTTACGGTTATTGATTTGATTACGTTTATGCTTCATTTTGAAGCTTTCAGTTCAACTCACTCTGCGTTATCCGCGATCTATTTTTGAAATGTTCTTAAGTCTGCAAATAGAACTCTTTACAGCATTAGTGCTTCGGTTAATTCATGTTCCATCGGCCACTTATTATTGGCATGAGATGCGCTTAAAATCAACTATGTACGCGTACACCGTTAATATTAATTCTCTACAGGTGCGTTATTCATTTGTATTACGTACGACACCGAATGTTCATGTAGCCAGCATGTCTAAACGGACAAATGCATACGCAGAAATTACATCACTATTTTGTACGACTCCACAGAAAAATTGGTCAGACATCGTACGATTTTAACAATAGCGTTGTAAGCATTCTGCCATGTTATTTGAATTTATAATGATAGCTGTTTCTAAATTCTAATTCAATGTACTGTTAGTTTTTCATTTGTTTTCGTATTATGCTATAAATTAAATTAAATAATCAATTTTTATTTTAATGCAGTTGACCTTAAGAGTATTGAGATGCAAAAAGAGAATAACAAAAATGTCTACCACGTAGGTGACTGCCGCAAAATGTCAGTTGGTTACAGTAACACAATACTGTGTTATATTATAGTTTAGCGTTTTATTTTACAGCCTTTCATAAGCGGATTTTATGCGGTAGGTAACCTAAAAAAATATACGCTTTATTTTGATATATTCAAGTATTTTATAACAAGTTCGAAATGGCTGTATATAACTACTGGTGTGGTCGTAAGCTGGTAGAAGAAATTTGTAATTAAAATAATTATATGTTCGTGGTTACTGGTCTTGTGTAACGTAGTCTGTCTGTAGTATCATATTGAAAATTGTACAATAGTAATTTATTGAGAACCTGTTTTTATGAATGTTCGAAAACAAATATTGAATTATGTTATCTAAATTATATAGCTATATGTAAATTATCGTGTATAATTTGTTGAATAGAAGTTTATGTTCCATAAAATATACATAGGAAATATTCGGTAATGTTAAAGCTTCACAAAATTTTCGCGATAGGGTAAAAGGGTCTAACCTTAAAACGACCGCGTGCAGGTCAAACTGTCAATCGCGCTCCGAATCCAATTACGAGTACATATTTCAAACTTTTTGACATTTACAAAACAAGGCGTAAGATTAGCGTGACGATGTACGGAGATATGATACTTTATCTGATGGTGGACCCTTGTCACATGTCACTTTTAATTGTATAACTAAAATCTGAGATATCAGATTATTCGGATTATACGAAGATTTGACCTCTAACGCCTTGACATGTTTTATATCGGTTTTGATTTACATTATGACTCATTCGAATTGACACTGCTTGTTTAAATAAATTGCCTATTGAGAAATTGTATTTTTTTTACAAAATAAAAAAAGTCATGAATGGAATTCTTTCGGTCTGCTATTGAGTGGACTTGTTTAAAGTTTAAGCATACCGTGGTTTAAGGTTGGGCAAAAAAGTTGAAAGCGCGTGCTATATTTTTTAGGCTTGAAATACTATACAAAGATTTGTCAACATTATAGATATTATTCAATTCCTACACCATAACCATTTAAGAAAAAAAAGTGTTTGTGTCACTTTAAATATAGACGCATCCTTTATACAGGAGAAATTTGCTAGTGTGGGTTAACTTTTTATATAAGAAAAATATATAATATAAAAGAAAACATGAAACAAATATAAAAATGCTAGAAATAAAATAGATATAACTACTCCTTTGATTGTTTGTTTGACCGGTCGTTAGCATTTAATCACTTTTATTCGGAGTGTGTACACTTACTAAAGCAAAACAGTAAGTGTTGCCAAAACGAAATATTTAATAGCCTCATTAAAAAAATCGCAATTACTTTGTAAATAAGATGGATAGCGGGAACTTCGCCTACGATGCTATTAACCCATTTTACTCAGTCAAACAACACAAATTAACTCAGCTGATGCATTAATGTTTTATTAGTTATTTCTATCAAAAAGCTAACGTTTTCTCAAACTTTTCGTAAAACATTTCGGTTAAAATATTTCATGTAAACTCAAACTGTATAAACTCAAAAAACATTTAAGTATTTCAATTAAACCATCCTTTGGTACTTTTGAAACGTCAACAAATATAAAATAAATAATAGTCTGTCAGTCTCTACGCCAATGAAGCTAGGTGCTCGTTCCAAAAGGTAGATTCGAGTGGAGAGGAGAAAACTCCATTTGTTACTCTTACTCTTAAAATAATAATAATACAACATCTCTGATACATATTCCAATATTGTACATATGAATGTGAAAACAATGTAAAGACACGCTTGAGACATAACATAAATTATAGAACTTACTAATATAAAGAACTTCTTTACCTTCTATTTAATAAGTCTCAAAGGTATTTGACACTGCTAATTAATTTTTAGTTAATTTAAAATGTTTTACAAAGATAAGTTTGGGCTACGATGGGGCTGATGTAGCCTATTGGTTAAAAGTCCCTAAAACAAAACAAAATAGATAATAAAAAAAGTTTATATGAAAAAAGTAAATGATTCAAACACTGAATTGCCGGTACGGATCGAAAGAGTTTTATGTTAAAGTCAATACATAATAATATTCATTGCAAACTGGTGCGTTAGTTATTGGGCTACTAAGCTGATAGGTACCTACTCAATGTAGTTTCGAGATGATAAACTATTTCGGTAATATTTTGAGTAAGATTAAGTTCAGGAGGAAAAAATACTGTTTTTATCACATCTCATGATACAATACTGTATACAAAAACAGGATAAATTTTGTTTAATAAAATATTAGTATTTGTTATATAAATATTAATAATACTATTTAATTGGTAGTTTGTCGACGTAGCTGGGAAATCCGACTGTTAATCTAAATACATTATACTAATATAGATATCTAGGTAAAAAAACTAAAATGTAGCTGATAACCCGACTAATAAAATAATATTATTTTGACCTTTATGAAACATTAAAATGCCTATGATAATTTAAAAAAGAATAATTTAATTCTAATGTTGATTCACTATCGTCTCTAAATAATCATTTAGGCTGACCCAAAAGCCTAGTTTAATCATCATTGTTTAGCTGTCTGCATTTAAAAATGTGAATTAGCTATTTTTATAAATAATAAATAGTTTTAATAGCGATTGTCTATGCTGATATAATGCCTTTAGAATAGATTTATGTGTGTCAGGCTAGGCGTATTGTTTATTGAAAGAGCAAACAAAAACTTCTAATTTCATAACACAACAAAATCTGCTGTATATAACAGTTTTAAAAATATATTGATATATATTAACGATTATTACAATTTAACACTATTTTTTAATGTATGAACGTGCTTAGATAAAGTAGGTATAGGTATATCAATATTTATTTTTTCCATTAAGAAATCTTAACTAAATTAATCGTACCTACAGGAAAAATATCTATTTTTAATTTTATATATAGGTACTTAATTCCACTACGAAAGTCTAATTTCTTTATTATTTCTATTAAAAATTACGATTTTTTTTATATCTATTTATTCTATTAAAAATATGACAAATATAACAAAGATATTTTACGTATAGTATTATTTTATTTCAGTTGCCGATTAGCGTTGAAATAATTTACAAGATTTACCTAAATCTAAATACGAAATACCCAATACAAATGTAAAAGTATCAAAAACCACTCACCAGTATGTAATAGGTTTCTTATACTATCCTGGACATCCCTCTCGTCCGCGTCTCCAGCATCCCTCGTCAGATCTATCGTGACATGCTTGGCGGCGCACCAGGCCACCAGCATTTGGAACAATAAGAGTTTGAATAACGAACACCGCACATCCATCTTTCTTAACACCCGACAGTCAGTACGCATTCTGAGTCCACGTTAAAATAATCGTCTTTAAATTAAAATTTCACTTATATGGTCACTAGTCACCGCACTACTACCGGCAAAGGAATCGTCCAAAATGAGCTCGACGTAACATTTACGAAGCTTTATGCTTGTAGTTCGATATTGATAATGTACTCATCATTCGTCTTCTGAGCTGGTTTGTCATCATACACTACCTGAAACAAAAAATTATCACAATCAGAACACGACTCGTTGATACTCAAGTTTTTATAACTTACTTTGTAGTTTTTTTTCGATACGTATCGATTTAATAGTCTATGAATGGGACATAATATTAAAAAGTCACTGGCCAACTTTAAATGCCACACGGTATTCAAATATTTTTATTTTTAATGTAATGTTATAAATATTAATTTATATGTATACGATTTTGTCGATAGTAATATACCTACAAGTTTTATTTAAATAATCACTTAATTTTAAATATTATTATGTGGCAAATTAATATTAAAAAGGTACACAGTTGCCGGATATGTTGCCACTCACCATAATTTATTGTACTACGAAATGAATTGAACTGTAAAATTATTAGGTATTAAAATATATAGATCGTACGATGTAGGTAAAATGTGTTTATTAAAGCGCGGCGCGAGAGTCTACGCGACTGTGGTTGTGTACGTGTAGCGTAGCGACGCGCCACATACGCGACCATTGTCTATAAATCACTATCTGTGTCTGAGAGCCGCCTCGTAGGTTATATAATTATTCATAATTACGTATTATCTGCTTACTCCATAGGTAAACACAATCTGAGAATACGTCCCAGAGATATAGTAATCTTTTTATCAAATCCATTTACTAAAACAATATAGTTTATGTCAGCAGCCTATTTTGCAAAATGTACGCGTAAAATTGCTAATGAAGCACATTGTCATTCTACGTTGTGATTAAAACGTGGTATGATTTTTATAGATGCCAAAAAACTGGCACCATTAAATGTGAGATCCCAAGAATAGTTGACTACCTATCTTTATAAGGTAGAGCTTTCTTCATCGGCATCGCGACAAAACACGATTGATTGACAGTCTGTAGAATTATTTGCAATTTCAGGGCCATAAATAAACAATCTTCTCTTACAAAAATGCACATACATTGCTATCATTTTTACCGACTTCAAGTGCAAGTTTTCGTAACGTAATTCGCACTGTATAGTGTCTTGAAACGTTTTACTCGCTATGTTATAATAGTAAGAGATAAAATGAAACAATAGCCGAGAGATGACGTGCCTTTCTATGAAGGAATGTATTTTAGGAATAAGATTGAAAGGGCGTAGGGCCCACGTGCCGCGATAACGTAGGCGCCAGCCACCTCGGCTGTACTCCTTGTTTTTATTTGGCTCCTTCGTACGGAGCGGAGGCGAGGGCCGGCGCCATGACGGATTGTTAAAATGTTTACCGAGACGCTTTATGTCTCCATAATTTGCGTTATATGGTGGAACCAAAACGTTACCCCTCCTTATCGCAGGACGAGCGCAGTTTCACCAAAAGAATATGGCATTTAAAACAATTACACAGCCAAACAATGAAAGAAAGTGCTTCATATAAACACAAAGGAGTTAACGGGTCGACATAATTGTGACGATTGCGAGCATGACAACTGTTCACGGTAACGACGCTGCGACACTCCGTAGCAACAATATTCAGCGAATAAAGCGAAAAATCTTCCGAAAACCTTCCAATTATTGGTCGTGTAATATGATTCTTTATATTTCCTTTCCATTTACGTACGAGTAACGTGTGTGGTATCACGATTTTACCATATTTTATTAGCTGGTGAGGCTCCATCCAATAGCCGCGTGCCAATATGGGCCACCTGTATCAAACATTAGGTACATATTACAACAGTTCTGTAGGTACTTCATTACAGCTGTGTCAATTTTTAGGTCTATTCAGTCTTTAATGAAATCGGCTTGGTAACGCAAACATTATAAAGGTAGACTTTCATAGGTTAATGAAATTCATGATATATGAAACTGTAAAGTAAGACTGTCGGTATTTTTACTAGGAAATATGTAGCGTTCACTGGATATTATCGTTTATTTATTATCGTGTTTAATGTTTAAAGTTGTTTTACACATTTTGTATACATAACACGTCACGAATCTTAATAAAATTCAATGCTTACGTTTTATGCATCATGTGCAGATTCTATCGTTAAAATAGGACTCTCTTTGATGTCTGTACGTGCATACAGTTTACGGCTCGTGTACCTATCAATAAATTATATTGTAGCATTATATTATATAACATGTAAAATAATGACACCACACGCAGTATAAACATCTTAATCTTTACAACTCTCTGATTTTGCGGTATCACGTAGTATCATTGTTATCAGCAAAGATAATAATATCTCTGTGTGTACTACACCTAATCTTAGTGCTGACCCGATTCGTGCCTAGGCTAATAATGACGTATGACCTGGACTCAATCTCCTCGCCTGTCTTAATCAAACACCTGATAATGAGACTTAATGTACATCTCTATTGAGGTCACGTAATAATTTGGACTTGGTTATATAATTCTATGTGGCACTGTTATTAGCTTATCTGTGTGTGAGATTAAACATTGAGAGCTGAGAGGCTTTGGTTGTAAGTTACTGAACTGAAAGATGGAGGCTTTAATCACGTACAAAGCACCCGCCGGTAAGGATTCGATCACGTAGAGAAGGTCGTAATTCCGACTAAGGATCGAATAAGTGAATTTAAATTACGGTTTGTAATAGTATGGTTAATGTAGATAATGTGATGGTCTCGAGTAACAAAAACTGAGTGCCAAGCACGAAGAACTATCGCAATCGTAAAGTAATAGTATCGAGCGCGTTCGACACTCTGATTGGCCGGCTCAAGTGGACCAACCAATCAGAACGCTTAACTCGCTCGATACTGTTACGATACGAATGCGATAGTTATTCGTGCTAGGCCCTCTGGTACGATCAGAGTGACGGACAGGTCGGTGGCGCCAACACCCGCCCATCGAAGGACAGATATAAGATTCGGAGGAATGCATACTCTTCGTTTTTTCCGCATCACAATGTAAACAAGTCTCTTGTTAAAATACTTTCAATAAAAACCTTTGCAGAGCAGCATCACTTCCTGTACAACTACAGTCTTGTGTCAAGATTAAAGATATGAAACGTTAAATTAAAATATTAATTACTTGTAAGAGAACGTTGCTTAAGGCACTTTTACGAACCTACGCCTACGTAAAGAAACTTCAATTAGTAAGTTACAATGAAATACCAATAACACAAAGCGACCTTATATAAAAACACCTCTGTATTGCACAGTTTTCCCTGTTGAAATAAGGTTTTTCCTCACACAAATGATTAATGAAAAACATAACGTGAGGTGACGCCTTAAGACCCTTATCATTACTGTGCTATTATTAAACTATAAGCTAATAATACGTTTTCGTTTCGCTCGTCTACACTAGTGCGATGATAAGAACAAACGTCTTCATTTCATGTAACAAGTTCAACAAGATTTACATGTTAATTTAATGTCTTATTACTATTATTATAAGCGTTACGAGCGTACAAATTACGTTCATAATGCGTTTATACGATGTTATAAAACATTTGCATTTATTGTTTACCGATTACTCGACACGTGGATTCCGATAGTGTAATGCCCTATTGATTACGAAAGTAAGTTATCAAAGTTATTTATTGTCATTATCGAAATAAATATGAAATTTGTTGTGTTTACTTGTAATGTGAAAGAAGCTTAACAATGCGCGAGCGCTGGGGGCATCCGTCATCGTCTCGCGAGCACTCGCGCTTTGTCTGGACCCATTGTGAGGACCGGTAGCGCCGGTTATAGTCGGCTCGAATTATTGCCCTTTATGAACTGACTGCCCTGCCGAGATCGTTCGGAAATATGTAAGTAATGTACGGCCAAGTACATACTTGGCCGTACGCAAGATGTTTCTATGGCACATGCCATAGAAACATCTTGGGATCTTCTAAAGAAATACGTTCACAGCAATTACGTAAGGTTTACTATGAATCATAAAACAAACTAACTAAAAAGGATTACTTATGACATTTGCTTAATTGATTACTACAGAATTAAAATAGTTACAGCAACAGCAGTTAATAAATATGACATTGAATGATGAAAAGCTTCCTTTTCTGAAGATGGCTAAGATATACATAACAAGCTTAATTGATACAGAGGTCAAATGTAAACAGAATTGATAGTTCAATCAATCCATTAGGCACAGCAACAGCCTACACGTTGTCTGTCAACCTAGAGTTTGATTGATACGTTCTTAAATATGAATGATTTTAGTGTGGGAAATGCTAACAACAGTTAACCTACAAATTAAACATGTAGACCGATTTGTTTTGAACTAAATCATTTGATTGAATTATGCCAATAGGACTCTGGTTTTTCCCACAGTTGGAAGCAAAGAAGGGGCGGGACAAATGTTTGAATATAAATGTAGAACAAATAGACCCGGAAATCTTCAAGGGAATCTGTAGAATGTTGTTTTGCCGGGCGAAGCCACAAATTTTTTCTGTCGCCTATTGTCTCCGAGACACGGCGTCGCACTGACAGGTGCCATTAGTAAAGATGGCGGACAAATGGCGACTGTCGGCTCCAGATTTCATGATCACTCGTTCTTTTTAAACGATCCTTAAATATTTGAGAGCCGCTTTAAATGCTTCATAGCAAACTTTTATGACCACTTACTCAAATCTGTGCTTTAAAAAATCGACATGAATCGAGTAGTAAGAGAATAGAGATAATTAAATAGAGATAGAGTAGCTAAAACATATATTTATTGAAAACTTTACTTTTATTGACTGAATGTGGTTTCTCGTCGGGCCTGTGTAAGTCAACAAAAAATAAGTAAGTAATTTCTGAGTATTCCCAATGCACGGGTGGTGTTGACAATGTTTGATTGACGGCAATCATTTTTTTTTCTCTCGCACACATTTGGTTCATCGTCCTC